AAAAAAAAAGAAATTAGCTGGACAACTAAAAAATATATATATAGAAAAATTAGCCGGGCATGGTGGCACATGCCTGTAGTCCCAGCTACTCGGGAGGCTGAGGCAGAAGGATCGCTTGAGCACAGGAGTTCGAGGTTGCTGTGAGCTAGGCTGACGCCATGGCACTCTAGCTCGGGTAACAGAGTGGAGACTCTGTCTCAGAAAAAAAAAAGAATCTATGACATACAATACTCTCATACTAATGATTTCTAATTAGCCAAGGATTAAAAATGTTTAAATGGGTGGAAGGGGGATATGTTAGTCAAAGGATACAGAATTTCAGTTAGACAGGAGGAATAAGTTCAAGAGATCTATGGTACAACATGGTGACTATAGTTAATAACAATGCATTGTATACTTGAAAATAGGGCCGGTGTGGTGGCTCACACCTGTAATCCCAGCACTCTGGGAGGCCAAGGTGGGTGGACTGCTTGAGGCCAGAAGTTTAAGAACAGCCTGGGCAACATAGTGAGATACCATCTCCACAAATAAAAATAAAACTAGCCAGGTGTAGTCCCCGCTACTCAGGAGGCTAAGGCAGGAGGATTGCTGAACCCAGGGGTTTGAGGCTACAGTGAGCTATGACTGTGCCACTGCACTCTAGCCCAGGTAACAGAGCAAGACCCTGTCTCAAAAAAAAAAAGAAAAAAGAAAAGAAAATTGCTAAGAGTAGATTTCAAGTGTTCTCACAAGTAATGTACATGTTAATTAGCTGTTTAGCATACACGATGCATATATATTTCCAAACATCATGTTGTACACTGTAAAAATATACAATTTTTATTTTCAATTAAAAATAAGTAAATAAAATTCTTTAAAAGTTTAACTAATATTTTTCCTAAGTGGGCCCAACTTATTATCATTTTGAACTCACAAATGAGGAAACCACAATCATGGAATCAATGACCTTGACTTTTTCAAAACAAGTGGAGAACTAAAAACCAGCTCCTAGAATTTCTTAAGAAGGTATTTTCCTTCGAGATTAAATCAGCACACCATAAACAGTTCCAAATCCCCCTAGTAAAATAGAATTAGACTGGGAACTTCTATCAAGAATAAAATATTTTTGGCTGGTCTAATGGTAGTGGGTTATCAAAACTTGTTAGCATTAGTGTCACTAAAGTTGGTATATAACCCCTCACTACTAAATTTGACTGACTTAAAAAAAAAAAAAAGGAAAGGAAAAAATATTTTTAATTCCCTATTTCTCCTCCTAAAAAATCCTGCGTGAGAAATGGAGAGAGGCACCATTCCCATGAGAGCTTCAGGATTACCACTAATGAAAAAGAAATCTATTTCTTGGCTAGTGTAGACACTGCTTATACAACTCAAAATGACACTGTATGCACACTTAATGAGTACAATGACCCTCAGCTTCGAAATCCTAATCCTAAAATTCTTAAAATGAACTGTTTGGAACCAATATGATCATTTCCAGCTAAATGTATATTCTACCAAAAGCCCCTAACATCTATTAAAATATGATATATTAAAGAATTCAAAAACATTCAATTATGGTCAAACCATCTGGAATAAAGGAGGCAGTTCTGGCAAGACTAGACTTGACATACCTTAGAAAAAAGATACAGATGGAGATGAAAGACAGGGAGAATATGAAGAATTAAGATAAACCTGATCTCAACTCGAAGAGGAATCATTTTGTCACTGAGAAAAACTAAACAAAGTCCTTCTATTTTTACACTTGGTGACTGAAGTGGAAAGAGAAATGAAAAGACATTTGGGGAAATCAGGAATTGAAATCTCAACAGCGTTGAAGCTAACTTTCCATAACAAATAGTTTCCAAAAATAGGGCTGGCACAAAACTATGCCGGGATCTGTACCAGGAGTGTCTAGAGGAGCTAGTCGCTACAAATAGAGAGGCTCCAAGTACAGAATGAAACCTAGACAGTGCAAAGTTCAGAATGGAAGAAAATCTAGGGTATTTCTCCAGGCACCTAATCTGCCTTCTACAGAAAAGGTGGGACACCCACTTCCCCTCCCAAATAAAAAGATAAACTAAAAATGAATTCCCTGGGGGGCTTCAGGGCAGCAGAGGACCCACCGCTCTGGGTGCTATTGCTAATTGCCAGCCCGGTAGGGGTCTAGGCCTCTCGGCTAGAAGCCTGTTAGGAATCCAGACACTGCCCCCTCCTTGCCAGTAGCAGCTAATGTTTGCAGGAGTTAGAAACAAAGGCAAAATACACCATGATATCTCTCCCAGAGATCCCTGAATAAGATCTCGAAATTGTGGGACCAGACAGGTGCGACGGCTCACGCGTGAAATCTCAGCACTTTGGGAGGCCAAAGCAGGAGGATCGCTTGAGCAAAGTTGTTCCAGGCTGCAGTGAGCTACGATCACGCCGCTGCACTTAAATGACAGAGACCCTCTCTCTCAAAAAAAAAGGGGGGGGGGGAAATGGGCAATATACGTAACCTCAACATTTGTACCCCCATAATATGCTGAAAGAAAAAAAGAAAAACAAAATTGAGGACCGATGGTCAGCTGACCTCGAAGTCAGAGCTACTTAACAGTCTCAGGGCTCGGCTCTGGGTATGGCCCCAAGAGCAATTTGGGAAGCACGATAGGTGGGGCAAGTAAAAGGGGAGAGAGCCGCGCAACCGCTCAGTTCCGAGCAAGCGACCCCGAAGCCCTCCGGAGCGCGCCGCAGCGGCTTGTGGGGGATGGGGAGAGAGGTTTCTAGGATTCCAGAGCGCGTGACCTCCACACCCACGGATCCTTTCCCTGCCCAGGCACAGGGTAAACATTTGTCCGCAAGACGTGAGGGGCCAGTTCAGGTCTCCCAGGGCCACAGGCACCGACTCCCAGCCCCACACTAAAGTCACCTCAGCAAGAGCGCAGCCATCTTGGGTTCCGGCCTGGACGGAAGTGACGCAGGCGGCCCAGCCACCCCAGGGCGGCTGCGGAGAAGGGGGCTGTCACGTGACAACAGCGGCTGCTCTAAAAGGCTCCGGATGCTTTCTTCTCAGCTCAACCCAGATGGTTTGAGTTTTCTGTAGTTCTTTCGTTTCCTCCCCCACTGACTTCTACCGGAATTTGCCAGGATTTCGGTAGCAACGCCCGCTGGCTCAAAATCCGCAGTCTCCGTGCCGGCTGCATACGTAATTATTTTGTATCGCACCACCGAGCGGCGAAGAGCCGACCTGCCCAGATTCTTCCCTGAGGCCTTCGCAGTCTGTTTCACTCCCCCTTCCCCCAGGTCGGCCTAAAAACGTCGTGGTTGGCCAGCTGAGACACCCAGGAGAAAAGATAACTTTGGACTCCCCGTTCTAATGTGAAGGTTCACCCAGACAGAGATGCACAAGTTGAGACCTAAGTGCGGAGGGGTCCTGGAGAGAACCTCGCTGACCACCAGTCCTAAGAATGGGAAGCCTCATTAGGCTCCACAATTCCTGGGCCTGAGCTGCAACGCGAACCAGACGCCCACCAGCCCAAGACAACGCTCCCTTGTTCCTTGTTTCAGCGCTAGGTGGGTGACACCCACAGCCAGAAGAACCTGGGGTGAGGGGGATAACACGCTTTCATTTACATATAGAAACAGTTTTGAGGAACCCAAGCACAGGAATCAATTGCAGAGCACTCATGACTAAGGGGAGAAAAAGCAAGTAAGAAGGAAAGGAATAGAGTGCAAAAGTTCTTGACCCTTTTTTGGTGGATAGGGTGGGGAAGAGTAAAGGGGACAGCCCAGAGCAATTCCTATTCTACAATAAAACATCCTTAGTCATATTAATATTCAGATCTTATTTATATTTAGCACCCCTGCACTATTCCTTTCAGGATTTAAATAGCACAAATTCATTTATTTATGCATCAAATGAATAATACTATTTTGCATTTCTATAATGCTTGACAAAAAAGGGCATTTTTATAGACTTTAGGATTGAAAGACACCTTAGGCAGGGGTCCTCAAACTTTTTAAACAGGGAGCCAGTTCACTGTCCCTCAGAGGGTTGGAGGACCGTTGGAGAGTGCGGCTGCACATTCCACACCCACACTGTGGGCCATGGACCAGTCGGCTGCTAAGCAGGTCAGGCAGCCACCGCAGAAACACCCGGAGGGCCGGGTAATGTCCTCGGTGGGCTGTAGTTTGAGGACTCCTGCTTAGAGCCTCTCTAACCCAACCTATTCAGTGCAAGGATCTCCCTGATGGAAGATCTTTAAGACTCTGCTCCCAATGGTGGCATTTCAAAAGACAAGTTTCTAGCACACTCACACCTGTAATCCCAGTACTTTGGGAGACAGAGGTGTAAAGATCATTTGAGGCCAGGAATTAGGAACCAGCCTGGGCAACATAGCAAGGCCCTGTCTCTACCAAAAATTTAAAAACCTTAAAAAAAAACAAGCTTCACTGAGTGAACAGCTTATTCATTAGGAATTTATTATAGTAAAATACAGTCTTCTGCTATCAAACTTCCAGTCATTAATCCTACCTTGGGCCTCTGAAGCTTCACATTAACAAATCCAATGAATGCCTCTTCACTTAGTTCTTTAAATAATTTCATTTAACACGATTGCATTGCATTTTTGCCAGAGTATGTGAAAAGTGCTGTGGGGGATTCAAAGCTACAAACATATTGTCCTCAAACATATTGTCCTTTATAGCCTTAGAAGGATCAATAAAATGCCTGTAGTCTCAGCTACTTGAGAGGCTGAGGCCAAAGGATCACTTGAGGCCAGGAGTTTGAAGCCAGCCTGGGCAATAGAGGGAGATCCCATCTCTTAAAAGAGAAAGAAAGATTAATACAACAAAGAAAGTAGCTAGGCCCGGTGGGCGTGGTGGCTCACGCCTGTAATCCTAGCACTCTAGGAGGCCAAGGCAGGTGGATTGCTCAAGGTCAGGAGTTTGAAACCAGCCTGAGCAAGAGCGAGACCACTGTCTCTACTAAAAAGAAATAAAAAGAAATTAATTGGCCAACTAAAAAATATATAGAAAAAATTAGCCAGGCATGGTGGTGCATGTCTATAGTCCCAGCTACTGTGAGCTAGGGCAAGACTCTGTCTCAAAAAAAAAAAAAAAATATAGATAAAGCAGGTAGATAAATAAGGAGAAAGTGATTTTTTTTTTTTTTTGAGACAGATTCTCACTCTCTTGCCTGGGCTAGAGTGCCATGGCATCAGCCTAGCTCATAGCAACCTCAAACTCCTGGGCTCAAGCGATCCTCCTGCCTCAGTCTCAAGAGTAGCTGGGATTACAAATTAGCCGGGCATGGTGGCACATGCCCGTAGTCCCAGCTACCCAGGAGTCTGAAGCAGTAGGATTGCTTGAGCCCAGGAGATTGAGGTTGCTGTGAGCTAGGCTGACACCACGGCACTCACTCTAGCCTGGGCAACAAAGGGAGACTCTGTCTCAAAAAACAAAATGAAACAAAAATGTGGAGTTTATGATCAAGCCCCATATTTAGAGCTCCACAACCCAAATCTAATACTACTCACCAAACCTCCCAGGACTGTGGTCTAAGCAGAAGCCAGGAAGGTACCAAGAGACTGTGGCCTTACACGGGTAAGCCTGCAAATGGTCTCATAGCAGAATCAACAATGACCATCCCACTCAAAGTAACTTCTAGAACCCATAACTAGAGGAGTTATGGAAATGAATGAATCACATTGAAAGTCAAACCCAAGATAAATCAAGCCCTTTATCATCAGCTTATCTTAGAAGTAACCAGGAGGAAGAAACAGGTTCTAGCCAAGGCCTGAGGTGAGAGAAAGGAGAGAGAAGAAAGAAGGGAAAACAATTCCAGATGGGAATATGGGAGGCTCAGTGAAAAGCAAAATCATTTCAGATGATCCCAAGGAGGCTTGCAATTCTAGTGCTCTGGGAGACTGAGCGGGGAAAATAGCTTGAGCTCAGGAGTTCAAGACCAGCCTGAGCAAGATCGAGACCCTATCTCTACAAAAAATAGAAAAAATTATCTGGGTGTGGTGGTGAGTGCCTGTAGTCCCAGCTACTCTGGAGGCTGAGGCAGAATGATCTCTTGAGCCCAGGAGTTTGCAGTGAGCTATGATGACACCACTGCACTCTACTCAGGGTGACAGAACAAGGCCCTATCTCAAAAAAGAAAAAATCAGCTCTGGTTGTGTAGACATTCCCAGCCCTAATGCCAGCTCAAACCTTCAGGAGATTCTCATGGTAAACCAAACTAAATCCACCCTCTTTAGTATGTCATCTAAGGCCCTTCACAAAATGGCTTCAACTTTCTTATCCAGTTTTGTTATGCATGGACAAGTCCAGTGCCTGTATGCCACTTCAAGTTCTTCCAAATCAAGTCAAAGTGCATGGCACAAGATCTGCCCTGAATATGCTCAGTACTTCACAACACACACACACACACACACACACACACACACACACACACAGACACACACACACTTTATCACCTCTTCTTTGTGTTTGCTATTCTGTCTGGTTACCTTCCCTACCTCCTTTTCCAAAATGGCAATCCTTCAAGTTTATTCCCTATCTAGCATTGCCTCCTGGACATGACTACTCCTTTCTCTGAACTTTATTTATTTATTTATTTATTATTATTTTTTTTTACATTGACAGCCAGAATATGAACTTTATTTATTAAATGAAACTTATTTTTGTTTTTAATTTCTCATATAACTTGATCTTCCTGATGTTGCAGCTGTGTGTGCCCTCCTTTGTACTCCTAGCAGCACTTTGTCAATTACTAAAGTGAGTATCATGGTTTGTTATATTTGGTTGTTGATGGGTTTGTCTTCTAATTGCTCCCACCTCCACCTCCTGAAACTGGATTTTTTGTTAAGACAGAATCTCACTCTGTTGTCCTAGGTAGAGTACAGTGGCACAACCATAAATCACTGCAACCTCAAACTCCCAGCCTCAAGCAATCCTCCTGCCTCAGCCTCCCAAAGTGCTGGGATTACAGGCATGAGCCACCATGCCCAGCCTCCAAACTAGATTTTTAAACTCCTTATAGGAGGGACTTAATTTTTATTCCTCCTTCTATTACCTACATTCTCATACTTTACATATAGCTGGCACTCAATATAATTTTATCACCTTGCTCTAAATTAAAATGGACTTAAAACTGAAGCACAACACATTGAAGGAGTTCCTGGCAAAGAGGGAAAGGTCAGGGGCTTCTTCCCTGGAAATATTCCAGTGAAGAAAAGCTTCTATCTGGGAATAATCACCCAGGATGCAGGAAGATAGAGGAGGAAAAAAGACTCTCAAAGGACCTGGTCATCTCAAGAAGTCTATAATGCAGCCCATGGTAGTCAAGATAACAAGGGATATCCTATTTTTAGCATTCTCTAGGGGAAACCTGCCTCTAGTTCCTAGAGCTCTGAGGTAGCTGCTCTCAGGCAAGAAGACTAAGGAGGAATCCCTTTTTATGGCTTTTGGAATGAGGTTTCCTGCCTATCTATCCCTCAGAGAAGTGTGTCCGTGTCCCTTTTTCTGTCCCTCTCTCTCACCACCCCCCCAACATTCCACTGGGGCAGAGGGAGGCCAGTAGACACAAAGCCCTCTGTGTATGGGGTGGTATGTGTCCCCCACCCCTCTATCCAGACTATACAATGCCCCTTCTGCTCCCTGCTCTCTGCCCCCCTCCCCACCACCTCTCAACTGCACATGCCAGGCTGCAATTGGTTCCTGGCTCAGGACAGCCCCCTCATGCTGAGGAACCAGGGGATTTTAAGCAGGTTCCAGGAACCCCCGCTCAGTTCCTGGTCCCCCACTCTCTCAACCCCACAGACGCTCTGGGCCCCTGCCCCTGCCCCAGCCATGGCTCCTGGGGCTCCCTCATCCAGCCCCAGCCCTATCCTGGCTGTGCTGCTCTTCTCTTCTTTGGGTAAGTGGAGCCACCCCAGTCTGTGAGCCTTGGGACTCAGGTTGTCTCTCAGCAACCTCCCCCTGCCTTCACTGAACTATCAAAGAGTAAGCAGGAGAAGGAAGGTGACGTTATATTCAGAGAGAAAAAAAAAATGCATGTTTGGAAGGAGGCAGTAAAGGTATTCTGTAAAAGAAATGTTAAGAGAAAATGTGCAGAGAGCTTCCCTGTGTGGGCATGGCTGGACCCAGGCTGGAAATCAGTAACATGCCCCCAGAGCCATGCTAAGAGTCTGGGAGGAAGCAGTGTTCGAGCATGAGAAGGAGCAGGTCAATCACCTGGGTTCTGGTCCCCATTCATCACCTGGTAGTACAAGAGGAACCTAACCTCAGTTTCCCAGAAGAGAGAAGTCAGACAATGTGATCTAAGGAGGGAGCCTAAGGTTTGTGATCTTAGCTCCTCTGATACTTTGACTCTTAGTGCCTCAGTTTCTCTCTGTGGCTCCTTGTCTATTATGTGGGTGAACAGAGTAGAAGGGAAGTTCTATGAGGTACTAAGATCTTATCCTTCTAAAGTTATCTTTCTTCGCAAGTTGACCAACCCTTTCCTTGCCCCCTGGCAGATGGTGGGTGAGCAAGAGAAGGTCAAAACAAGGTAATTCGAATGGATCCTTCCTTCTCTGAACTGCCCTGAAGCCTAGCACAATCAGTGAGCAGTGTTGGCAAGCTGGGGTGGGGGTGGGGGACAGTGAGGGAAGAGGAGCTGGTGAGAATGCCCAAGGTTCTCTGCTGTCAGCTCCTTGAGTCCTAGACTCTTCTGAGCTGTACTGGACTCTTCTAGGGTACCCTGGGAAAATGTTAAGGACAGGGAATTGGAAAAAGGCATGGTAAGAGAAATGGGGAGAAGAAATCTTGGAGCATAAAGGGGAGGGAAAGTTCTGTCTCAACACCTGTACCATTCATAGAACCATTGAGCGAAGCTGAGAAGGGCAATGGCTGATGTTATAATAAGAGGAATAGAAGTTAAATCCAGTGAATAACCTCCTTAGTTACATTGGGGATTCCCAAGAAGGCTCTAAGACAGAATTCCCAGGAGGTGAGTAAATGATATTGCATGCTGAGGTGGGAAATTCAGGACAATGGGGGTGGGGGTGGCATAAGCCCCCCAACATTGGTCTGACAATAGGACTTTGTTTGTTTGGTGGCCTCCTCCTCCTCCTATAGAACAAAAGGGTCTACAGTTGCCCTACCCAGGGCCAGCCCCCACACACAGTCTTTTTGGAATGACCTTCCTTGTGTGGGTGAGTCCTGAGGGCGGCATTGGGCCAGACGGCCAAAAGGAGGGTAAGGACTGTTAAGCCACAGAAGACTCACACGCAGAATTCTGGGCATAGGGTCTTGCTCTGCACCCAGCTGAGAGGGGTAAATAAGGTCCTTTCCTCCCTGTCACCCCAGTCAAGAGCAAGCTGTGTGGCAACCAGGGATTCAGCAGCAAAGACAGTTGTGCCAGGGAAGAAGATTTACACTTTCTAGTTAGCTTCATTTTTTTCTGCAAAAAATTTGGGTTTGCTGTAGTGTGAAATATTACGCAGCTGTTAAAATTAAGATTGATGTCTATATATCAACATGGAAAGCTCTCTCAGATATATATATTCTTAAGCAAAAAAAAAAGTAGAATATAATGCAATGTGTATGTAAAAATAGAAAGCTCCACAAAATAAAACTATTTGTTATAAGTACATGTATATCTTGAATTTATTGAGTTTATATTGAGTTTGATTCTTAGGAAAAGCATACATATTAAACTGATAACAGTGGTTATATCTGGGAAGGAACTGACTATAGGAAAGGAATTGGTTAGGTGGGTGTTAAGGGAGACTTTAGCTTTATTTCTATTGCTTGAATAGTTTATGAAAAGAATGCAGTATGTATTACCTGTATGATTTATAATAAATTTTAAAAAATTAAAACTCTGTATCTAAAGGATAGCTTAAGAGTTAGATACCGACCCAAAGGGAAAGTGAAACTTGATAACAAAATTCAACTTCTAGAAGTCCTCTGGAGAATGCTTTCTCTCTCTACTCTGCAAAGTTACATTCAGCTTCACCTGCATGACTTTCATGATAAGAGACAGAAAAGATCTCCTGGGGACCTCAGATTGGCCTTATAGTGGTTTCTCTTTCCTTGAGGGGTACCACAGGTCCTGGGAGAAAAAAAGAAAGAATTCTGTTCCTGATGATTTCATTTCCTCTACAGCCATGCCAAAGAGCTTGAACAGACACAGCATTAATGTGCATCTATTCAGTGCAGAGAACTATTTGGGCCTCAGAATTTATTGTTTCTTTCCTAATCTTTGCTATGGCCTCTGACCTATGACTCAGCCTTTGATTTCCTATTGATGTCACTCCCTCTATAGCCCTTACTGGGCCCACATATGTATCTGATTCTCCCTCTGTGCTTGCAGTGCTGTCCCCCGCCCAGGCCATTGTGGTTTACACGGACAGGGAGGTCCATGGTGCTGTGGGCTCCCGGGTGACCCTGCACTGCTCCTTCTGGTCCAGTGAGTGGGTCTCAGATGACATCTCCTTCACCTGGCGCTACCAGCCTGAAGGGGGCCGAGATGCCATTTCGGTGAGTGTCTGTGGGAATCCTGGGGTTGGATAACAGAAAGGGTTCTTCAAAGAACAACAGAAAAGAGAACTTGGGCTGAGGAGGAGAATGTCCTTTATGAGCCACAACTCCAACTTTGGCAAGGTAAGTGGCAAGCTTTGTCACTCTGACTAGGGCCTGTGTGCATTGTCTTCCCTCCCCCACAACTACCCTCTTCATGCCAAGATCCCTTACTGCGAGCCTGGAGCTAAGCTTTGACAGCCCTGTTCTCACTGGGGTTCTTTCACATGCTTCCTCTTGCTCCTCACAGATCTTCCACTATGCCAAGGGACAACCCTACATCGATGAGGTGGGGACCTTCAAAGAGCGTATCCAGTGGGTAGGGGACCCTCGCTGGAAGGATGGTTCCATTGTCATACACAACCTAGACTACAGTGACAATGGCACTTTCACTTGTGACGTCAAAAACCCTCCAGACATAGTGGGCAAGACTTCTCAGGTCACACTCTACGTCTTTGAAAAAGGTGTGAAGGGACAGGGGTCTGGGAGGCAGTTCAGAGAGGGGACGTGGGAGGCTCGATAGGCGGGAGGAAAGAGGCGAAAAGCCCAGCCTAATGACCTTGGCTCTAGGAGGGTGGGCAGAAGGCAGCCTTAGCTGAGAGTCCTACATCCTCAACCGCAGGGAACAGGTGTGGGACTATAAATCAGAGATACAGGTCCCTGCTCATCCGCCCACTTCTTTTCCCTCCCCTCCTAGTGCCAACTAGGTACGGGGTGGTGCTGGGAGCCGTGATCGGGGGTGTCCTCGGGGTGGTGCTGCTGGCGCTGCTGCTTTTCTACCTGGTTCGGTACTGCTGGCTGCGCAGGCAGGCGGCCCTGCAGAGGAGGCTCAGGTAAGGGGCGGGGCCTGACTCCCCTCCCGCTAACCCGCCACCCCCATCTGGGCGGAGGGTGCTTCAGAGAGTGCAAGGCCCAAAGGGAAGAAGCAGCTGTGTCCGCTGTGCAGGGGGTTCTGGAGCAGCCAAACCCACAGCGCCCCCTTTTTCCGCAGTGCCATGGAGAAGGGGAAATTGCACAAGACTGGAAAGGATACTAAGCGCGGGCGGCAGGTGAGCGGCACTCGGGGCCGGATGAGCTGGGGCGGAGAACCCTGGGGGCCGCGGGGCAGCTGTGAGGGGTGGGATGCAGACGGTCACGCCCCACCAGATCGGTGACTGATGTGCGCACCCCTGCCCCCAGACGCCCGTGCTGTATGCCATGCTGGACCACACCAGAAGCGCCAAAACCGCCAGTGAGAAGAAGGCCAAGGGCCTGGGGGAGTCTCGCAAGGATAAGAAATAGCGGTTAGCGGGCCGGGCGGGGGATCGGGGGTTAGGGGCGGAGTCCGCCAAAGGCTCTAAGGTGGTGGTCATCGAGATGGAACTACGAAAGGACGAGCAGAGCTCGGAGCTCCGGCCAGCTGTCAAGTCCCCCAGCAGAACCAGCCTCAAAAACGCCCTCAAGAACATGATAGGCCTGGACTCGGACAAGTGATCACCACCCACCAGGCCCTGCTGGAGCAGGGAGACCTAGGCTCCTCTTATTCCCGTCTAGGTGCTTTCCTCTCTTGCTCCCCCCGCCCCGCCCTGCCCTGCCCTCACTTCCCTTTGAGATGTAAGTTTCATTCCAGAATTCATTCCCTAGGCGCTTGTATTCTCCGCCACCTCCACCCCTTGGCTTTCTGGGAGCCCAGGGGCTGATCCCACCCCTCATCTGCCCCAAGGGCTGTGTGTTTGGTGCCTGTCCCTCAGGCACTGAGAAGAAAGGGACCTTGATACCCTCTGCCTCAACTTCAGGCCACCTGGCATTCCCATCCCCTGCACCCCTTAGCCTGTCCCTCTGGTTCTTTCTACTTCTGTCCCCCCTCCTCCTTCCCCTCTATCAGGTGGCTCAGCTTCATACTCTATCCTCCCAGCTAACTCCCAGATCACCCAGATCACACTCTCCTTCAGGGTTTGTTTAGGTTGTTGATTATTTTTTATTTTTAATCCATGCTTTGTTTGTTTGTTTGTTTACCTGTGCCCATGCTCTGTCCTTACTCCCATGACTGAGGACCAATGACGTCATGTGGCTTTTGCAATTCCTCACCCCTGTTAAGTCCTTAGTGGAGAGCCAGCCCAAGCAGAGGGGCCTGATTCTCAAACCCTGGCTATAGCATTGGTGCCCCCTGACTGCTTTGGAGCACTGTTCTGGGACTCAAGGTCTTGGGGAAGGATAGAGAGAGAGATCAGGATCCTCACAGGTCAGGCGGTGAAGAGGGGGCAAAGGAGCCTTAAGAAATGATGTTTAAACAACCAAACAGAAAGCAGGAAAACAAATGGGAACCAGGAGAGGGGAAAGGAAGAGGCTACACTCTAGCCACATGGGATTCTTAGGATTTTTCTATATTCTGTATATTTCTTCTCAAACCTCCAAATGTCCATAAATGTTTAATAAAACTGACATTTCCAGAAGCTGCTGCCTCCATCTTGAATTTCCTAGTTCTACTGGGAATAATCCCTGCCCCCTACCCCATCCACAAACTTCCGTGCTTGGTTTCAATTGTTGTTTGGTTTTTGGTATAAGCTTATATAATATGGTGGGAAAAAATGTGAAATAGAAAATCCTAGTAAGTCACTAGCTGTGTGACCCAGGATGGTTATTTGGCTTTGGTAAGCTTATTTATGCACCTGTAAACAAGATACCTACCTCATTTAATTCTCAGGGGTTTTGTGGGAATCAAATGAGACCCTGTGTCTGGAAATCTCTGTAAACTATCAGTTGGTATACAACTAAATATTAAGGTGCTTAATATTTGTTTCTAGCTTTTGTCTAAAAGAATGAATGCACTTTGGCCGAATGCAGTGGCTCACGCCTGTAATTCTAGCACTCTGGGAGGCCAAGGTGGGAGGATTACTCAAGATCAGGAGTTCAAAACCAGCCTGAACAAGAGTGAGACCCCATCTCTACTAAAAATAGAAAGAAATTAACTGGACAAGTAAAAATATGTAGAAAAAATTAGACAGACATGGTGGCACATGCCTATAGTCCCAGCTACTCGAGAGGCTAAGGCAGAAGGATTACTTGAGCCCAGGAGTTTGAGGGTGCTGTGAGCTAGGCCGATGCCACAACACTCTAGCCCAGGCAACAAAGTGAGATTCTGTCTCAAAAAAAGAGAATGTACTTTACAATCTAGCACAAATCTCATGCACCTTTCTAAACACACACACACTTTTGTTTTGTTTGTACAATATCTTAGGTATACTATTGATACCTCATTAGTTTGTTGGTATGTCAATTCAGGCACACCACTAATATCTTGGAATTCTTAAATGATTGTTCAAAACTGTAATGTATCATTTTCCCCTGGGGGGTGGTCTCTAATGGCAAAAAACCAAGATACCCACAAGTCATTTCTTCCCTTTCTTAAGAGGCTAAAGATATGATCAACACCAGCTTTGCCAAAATTCAAAGTGCTTCCAATTATTTGAGGGGTGTCTTCCATTTCTTTTAAAAGAAAAATTAGCTAGGCATAGTGGTTCACATCTATAGTCCCAGCACTTTGGGAGGCTGAGATAGGAAGATAGCTTGAGGCCAAGAAGACCAGCCTGGTCAACATTACCAAAACCCCATCTCTACAAAAATTAATTAATCAGACATGGTGGCATGCATTTGTGGTCCTAGCTATACCAGAGCCTGGGGCAAGAGGATTGTTTGAGCCCAGGAGTTCAAGGTTACAGTGAGCTGTGATTGCACCACTGCACTTTCAGCCTGGGTGACAAAGCAAGACCCTGTCTCTAAAAAAATAAATAGTAAAAGAAAATTTAATCTGAATTCATTTTAATATAAAAGCTAATAGATTCTATATATAGTTTTTAGAGGGTAGGAGAGGATGCTTAGTCACAACTCAATACAATTGGGAACATCTAAGCTCAAGATTCTTTTTTTTTTTCTTTAACACAGAGCAGCCACATGCAATAAGCTCAAGAGTCTTTATTAGTTAAAACACTAAACTATCCATTATTCATTAGATAGTTGCAGCTGTGTACCCTGCTTAAACTTTCCTAGCTGTTACGAGAGTCAAATGAGACATTGTGTCACTTCTGAGATATAGCATAGCCCAAAGCTTCTCATTTAATTACACTTTTATTCTAAAATTTATCTGCCTCCTGCACTTTGCTAGCTCAGTTTACCCAATTACTTTAATAGTTCTGATTCCATCAAGATTCCTGGTACTGGCCGGGCGCTGTGGCTCACGCCTGTAATCCTAGCTCTTGGGAGGCCGAGGCGGGCGGATTGCTCAAGGTCAGGAGTTCGAAACCAGCCTGAGCAAGAGCGAGACCACTGTCTCTACTAAAAAGAAATAAAAAGAAATTAATTGGCCAACTAAAAAATATATAGAAAAAATTAGCCAGGCATGGTGGTGCATGTCTATAGTCCCAGCTACTGTGAGCTAGGGCAAGACTCTGTCTCAAAAAAAAAAAAAAAAAGTAGCTATTCCATGAAAAGAATATAGATAAAGCAGGTAGATAAATAAGGAGAAAGTGATTTTTTTTTTTTTTTGAGACAGATTCTCACTCTCTTGCCTGGGCTAGAGTGCCATGGCGTCAGCCTAGCTCACAGCAACCTCAAACTCCTGGGCTCAAGCAATCCTCCTGCCTCAGCCTCCCGAGTAGCTGGGACTATAGGCATACGCCACTATGCCCGGCTAATTTTTTCTATATATATATTGGTTGGCCAATTAATTTCTATTTATAGTAGAGACGGGGTCTCGCTTTGCTCAGGCTGATTTCGAACTCCTGACCTGGAGCAATCCGCCCGACTCGGCCTCCCAGAGTGCTAGGGTTACAGGCATGAGCCACCTCACCTGGCCTCATTGTACACTTTCATGGGTTTACCCCAGACTGAGTCCATTTTCCACGATTCCCACCAACATAAGCCACATCTTTTCTCTCCTCTGCAATAAAGCATTAAATAAAGCCTAGAATAATGATTCAGGTGAAGGGAAATGGCATTGTTATATGGGAAACTTTGAATCTCATCTAATTATTACTTTTAAATAAATCATTCACAATCCTCAGTGCATTATTAATAATAATAATTTTGACCAGGCATTTGAGCACTTTGAGAATAATTTAAAGCCTCTTTCAATGTTAACCTCAAAACAAAAAAATTATAACCCAATTTATGAACATACATACAAAAAATCTAAATAAAATATTAGCAAATAGAATCCTACAGTGAATTAATAAAACAATAAATTATGGCCATGATGAATTTATTCTGGGAATGAAAGAATGAATCAGTATCAGGAAATATAATAAAATTCACTATACTAACGTAGAGGGGAAAACATAATTATATCAAAAGATGTTAAAAAAAATTGGTAACATTCAGTACCCATTCCTAAAAGACATTCTAGGTAAAACAGGAATAGAAATATAGAAACTACCAAAACATGATGAAGACTATTTTTTGAAAATCATGAAAAAGCATATTAAATGTGAAACATTACATCCATTATCATTAAAAAAGAAAACAAGACAGTACTTTTTTTAAAGAACGAGGTCTTGGCTGGGCGCGGTGGCTCACGCCTGTAATCCTAGCACTCTGGGAGGCTGAGGTGGGTGGATTGCTCAAGGTCAGGAGTTCAAAACCAGCTTGAGCAAGATCGAGACTCCGTCTCTACTAAAAATAGAAAGAAATTAATTGGCCAACTAAAAATATATAGAAAAAATTAGCCAGGCATGGTAGCGCATGCCTATAGTCCCAGCTACTCAGGAGGCTGAGGCAGAAGGATGGCTTGAGCCCAGGAGTTTGAGGTTGCTGTGAACTAGGCTGACACCATGGCACTCACTGTAGCCTGGGCAACAAAGCGAGACTCTGTCACAAAAATAAAAAATAAAATAAAATAAAGATCTCAGCTGGTTTGAAGTAGACAGGAGCTGGCCCAACTTCCTAAAAAACAACTGAAGGGACAATTACTGTGGTGACTTATGGATGTTATCTGTAAAGTAGCCAGTGAAGGTTAAGTTTCAGTTACCATAGTCTTTAGCTTCATGGAAAAAGGGGCAAAAAAAAAAAGCAACCAACCAAAGAGCAAGCAGGGCAGGCAGACCTGATCCAATTAACCCCTCAGTTTCATTATCAGCTACTTTCTTTTTCTGGTAGCAGTATCTCTTAACTTCCTTGAAACACACTATCCTAGTTTTTCCTCCTAACCATTTGAGAAATGCATAAATTAACTTTAAAGCAGAGACTGCAACAATATGAAAGACATCTTTTGTTTGTCCCATACAATGTGTGTATTTTCATCCAAATTAATGCTACTCTTGATTGTCACCAGGCAACAATCACCTTGACCTGAATATTCTTTTCCCCCTTTGGGTGGGGCCTGCATCTTCACTTCTGTTTCCTTACCAGCCTGACTACTCTGAGCATATGAATTTGCTATCCCCAATCTAAGAAATTGTTGGACAAATATTCACGTGTGGGAGTGAGGTTGGAGAAGGAAGGGCATGCTCAGGCTACACACATAGAGCTTTTCCTCAAGTAGGCCAACAGTGATTGCATCCATCTAACTATGTTAATTCAGTCATAGTCCCATGGAATATTGTTATGTAAATACTAAATTGTATTAACTTTCAACAATTTGCACAATAATATTAAAATGGGAAGGAGAGAGATGAATAAAATGGTTGACATAAACAAATAAACACGCTGTTTGAGGAAGGCGTCTCATCTTCCAGGAGCCACAACTGCATTTAGGATTCACTAACCCTCCTTCATCCAGAGAGCCCGCTGTCCCCACATGCTGCTCATGGTAGCTCTGGTCTGGGTTTCCTTGGTTTCTGCCCCTGTGGGCCACACCCTGCCCAGCCTTCCAGGCAGTGACCTGCTTGGGGTCCCCGCCAGTGGGAACTGAGGGAGGGTCGCATGAGCCTAGGAGGCCACTTGGACAATAGTGAGACTCTGGATTACTAAAGTATTTTTTTTATTACAAATTTATTTTTCTTTTAGCCTCAGCCATTTTCCATCAGTAAAGTATTAAAAAAAATAATAATAAATAAAATAAACAGCTATCTATAACAAGCAAACAGAAAATTTGCCAAGTTACTGCAGTGCTCATTTCTGTAATTGTTCAAGAAGCCATAATTGACATCTATTTTCTGTACTTCCCTGCTCTCTCAGCCAGAACCTCAGATGGTCAGGGTTCTTTACCCGGTGGAATGACCCAAACTTCCATTTCTGACTCAAGGCCTGAGCTCTCAATTGTCTTGCCTTTTTTGTTATTGCTATATTTGTCCATTAACCTTTACTATTAGGCATGGAAGTACTAAATGGTGCTCCCAGAGAATCCCCTGGGTTCCAGAAATAGCTTTCCTTGTCTCCACTGTGGAACAGCAACTCAATTTCCCTTAAGTAATCAGGATTGTAACTGCACCAGACCAAATCTGGCTCAACTTTTATGTAA